CTTCTTTGTTGAAACATTTCATAAGCCTGTCTTCATGATTTTGTTTCTTCAAGTACATGCTTTAGTGGGAATCACAACTGTTCATTCTTTAATTCATAGTAAATATTTGTGTGGTTTTTTTTTGTACACCTCTTGTAGGTTGGAGGCAGGGGAATCCCATTGGAAATTTTTTTTGTGTTATCACAGGCCTATGGTCCTGTCATGTATTGTCACAGGAGATTCTCAAATCCACTCAAAGACTTACCACACGGCCTCAGAAGATAAGAAGATTGTACACACTATTTTGAACAGCACGTTTACTTGTCTCTACCAGAGTTAAGAAATTTTGAGTCTTTGTTAATCGTACTGGTGGTTCACATGACAGGTTCAACATAGACAGTGTCAATAACAAGGGTAGGATTGTGCTCCCATTCACCGACAGGTTCAACATAGACAGTGTCAATAACCAGGGTAGGATTGTGCTCCCGTTCAGTGAGCAGCATCAGACAACAAATGATAACATCAGAGAATATTTTCCCTCATAGAGGACATGCAGTGTACAGTATTTATAATGTAAGAGGGTGAATATGAGGAATTGTACAGGTATCATCAGAATGTGACAAACATATGAACTGATAATCAATTGATGCACAACAACTTTAGGTTATATATATAATGATTATATATGTCAGTGGTAAGCTTTCATTCATTTAGGTCAACACAGTAATTGAGATTGAACAAACAAGTGCAATTTGAAGTGCCATTTTACAATTTGAAGCATCAAATCAAGAATAGAATCTTTAAAAAATGACAAAGTAAGGATATCTAGAAGAGAGGGACTACTTCCACTATTCTAATTTTAAAATAAATCCAACACAATGCTATAACAAGTCTGTTTGTGCATCCCCACTGGTTGAAAAGTCTATTTAAATAAAGTAGAGCTAAAATTTTAGATTCTTTAATTTATTTTTCAAATAATGTTTCAAAAGTTTTCCAAATTATTCAAATAACAGTTTAAGAGGGAAAAATAATTATTTTAATATTTATGCATATTTATAATGGATTTGAAAATCAGGCAATTCCATAATTATGCAATGACTAGTTTTTTTGTTGGTTTTTTTAATCGAGTATTTTGAACATTAAGGGTGACTTTGAGAGAGCTGGAGCTTCCAATGTTTAAAGTCAAAGAATCACAACACTATTTAAATCAAGTACAATGAATGCAATATTAAAATAAGAACAAAAAATAATGCAATATTTAAAAAAAAAATTATAACACTACAAAAGATTAAAATGAAAACAAGCGAATTAAAAAAAAAACGTTAAAGATTGCTACAAATTTTATCTATGTTTGTTATGAAAACTATAATAATAGGAATACTAAACTAAAATGAAATTTACAAGATGGCTGTTGAGGGAGAAAAAAAACCCAGAAACCCATTCTCCTTGCAAAATAAAAAAATTAATAATTAAAAGCAATTAAAATGAGCTGATGTTTTGAGTGTACCTGGTATTTGACCAACAAAAAAAATAAACTTATATATACACAGTAATCCTGCCAGTGATGGTGGACAATGGCAGCTACAAATGCTTGGCTTATAGCACAAAATAAAAAAATCAGTAGAACAAAATAAAAATTTCTAGAAGACAAGAATTTTACAATTGTGTTGCAATATTATTGTTGATTCTCTCCGAGCTCCATCTGACACTTAAGATATATTTAAGAAAAAAATAAACAGCCATTAATTAATCATTTAATGAAAGAAACTAATTTTTTTTACATGATGAAGAAAAAAAATTATTGTATTATAGGGACTTCCATTAGCTTGCAAGATAGAAAGCTGTTTGATTTCACACTTGTATCACACACAACTGGGGAGTCTTGACCAACAAACATACAACACAGTTAACATCACTTTCAGGTACTTTCAGACAGGAGTTCCCAAATTAATCTACACGAATCCATGTCTTTAGGCATTTCTTGTTCGGTTAAAGCCTGCGAACTTTAAGATAAAAAGATGAGCCGCAAACAGCGGAATGAACCCTGGAAGGGTGGGCAGAGACATGATGCACATGAAAAAATCACCCAAAACTTTCAAACGAACTTGTGGAAGGGGATCACTATTTAGCCACCCAAATACAAATGAATGGCTCTAGTTAAACAAAGGAAAGACTTTTAACTAGCAGAAGAGAATGCTCGAGGTTGAGAACATCAGCAAGTACCTATGTGGCTTGATGCTATCAAGTGAAAACAAGAACTGCCAGTGTGCTAGGAAAGGGGTGGGAGAGGAGGGGGCACCCCCCCCCCCCCCCC